TCGCTATTGCAAGTACTTCCAGTACTATATTGAACAGCAGTGGAGAGAGTGGACATCCTTGTCTCGTCCCTGATCTTAGAGGGAAGGCTCTCAGTTTTTCCCCATTGAGGATGATGCTTGCTGTAGGCTTGTGGTAGATGGCTTTAACTATATTGAGGAAAGTCCCCTCTATCCCCATTTTGGCTAGGGTTTTCATCATAAAGGGGTGCTGGATCTTGTCAAATGCTTTCTCTACGTCTATTGATATGATCATATGATTTTTATCTTTTCTTTTGTTGATATGATGGATTATGTTGATTGATTTCCGCATGTTAACCCAGCCTTGCATCCCCGAGATGAATCCTACTTGGTCATGGTGTATGATCTTTTTTGATGAGTAGTTGAATTCTATTTGCTAGTATTTTATTGAGAATCTTCGTATCTGTGTTCATCAGGGATATTGGCCTGTAGTTTTCTTTTCTTGTGGTGTCTTTGTTTCGTTTTGGTATTAGAGAGATATGGGCTTCATAGAAACTGTTTGGGAGTTTATGTTTTTTCAATTTCCTGGAAAAGCTTGAGAAGGACTGGCAGTAGATTCTCTTTAAATGTTTGGAAAAATTCGCTAATGAATCCCTCTGGACCTGGGCTTTTGTTTTTGGGAAGACTTTTGATTACAGTTTCCATTTCCTTGATGTTAATAGGTCTATTCAGATACTCTTCTTGATTCAGTTTTTGGAGATTATAGGAGTCCAGGAATTTATCCATTTCTTCTAGGTTCTCTTGTTTCGTGGCTTACAGACTTTCAAAGTAGTCTCTGATGATCTTTTGGATTTCTTTGGTTTCTGTTGTGATATTTCCCTTCTCATTTCTGATTCGGTTTATTAGGGTTCCTCTCTCTGTTGCTTTGTGAGTGTTGCTAATGGTTTATCTATCTTGTTTATTTTCTCAAAGAACCAGCTCTTGGTTTCATTGATCTTTCGGATTGTTTCTTTGGTTTCCATGCCATTGATTTCTGCTCTAAGTTTTGTGATCTCTTTCCTTCTGCCTGATTTAGGCTCTTTCTGTTGATCCTTTTCTAAGGTCTTGAGCTGTGAGGTCAAGTTGTTTATGTGCATCCTTTCTACAGACCTAAGATATGCTTGCAGAGCTATAAATTTTCCCCTTAATACAGCTTTCGCTGCATCCCATAGGTTCTGGTAACTCGTGTCTTCATTCTCATTTGTTTCCAGGTATCTTTTGATTTCATCCTTGACTTTGTTCCTGACCCACTCGTTGTTCAGCATTGAGTTGTTTAATTTCCAGGTGTTTGATTTGGTTCTCCGTGTCTGTGTGTGATTCACTTCTATCCTCAGTGCATCATGGTCTGAAAAGAGGGTTGATACTATTTTTATCTTTCTGATTCTGTTGAGGTATGTTTTGTGTCCTAGCACATGGTCTATTTTCGAAAATGTTCCATGTGCACTGGAGAAGAATGTGTATTCTTTCTTTTTTGGGTGTAAAGCCCTGTATAGGTCTATAAGCCCTTTCTCTTCTATTTCTTCTTTCAAAGCCAATGATTCCTTGCTGGGTTTTGTTCTTGTTGATCTATCCAGAGGTGATAAGGCGATGTTGAAGTCTCCAAGTACTATTGTGTTGCTAGCGATGTCCTCCTTAAAATCTGTTAGCAGTTGCTTTAAATATTTAGCTGTTCCCTCATTAGGTGCGTACACATTTAAGAGTGTGATTTCTTCCTGTTGTACGTATTCCTTGATGAAGAGAAAATAGCCTTCACTGTCCCTTCTAATCTTTTTAAAGGTGAAATTAATGCTGTTGGATACTAGTATGGCCACCCCAGCTTTTTTGAGGGAGCTGTTTGCTTGCAGAATTGTTTTCCATCCTTTGACTTTGAGTCTGTGTTTGCTCTGACTGTTGAGATGAGTTTCTTGTAGGCAGCAGAATGTTGGGTTCTGTCTCTGTATCCATTTTGCCACTATGTGTCTCTTAAATGGTGAATTTAGACCGTTGACATTGAGAGAGATTATTGTTATGGGGTTTTGTGTCATCTTTCTGTAAGGGTCTGTTGTGGTTGTAGGGTTTGTCTTGTCTTATAGTAGCCCCTTTAGCCCTTGTTTTAGTTTGGTTTTGGGTCTATGAAGTTCCTGAGCTGCTGTTTATCTAGAAAATAGTGTACCGTTCCTTCAATTTTGAGTGAGAGTTTAGCCGGATAGAGTATTCTTGGTGAAGCATTCATTTCAATGAGTTTTTTTTTTATTATATCTCGCCACTGCCTTCGGGCTTGGAGAGTTTCCTTTGATAGGTCTGCTGTGAATCTAAGGGGTGCTCCTTTTATGTGATTTCCTTCTTTGACCTTGCTGCTTGCAGTATTGTGTCTCTATCGGCAGCATCAATCATTCTAACTACGATATGTCTTGGAGTGTTTTTGTTAGGGTCTTTCTTAGCTGGCACCCTTCGGGCTCCTTGAATCTGAATGGCTGCATTGTGGAGCTCTGGGAATTTTTCCGCGATGATTTGTTTAACCATGGCTTTTTCATTGGGATTGTTTCCCTGAGCTTCTGGTAGTCCAATGATTCTAATATTGTTTCTTTTGGAATCATCTCCTAGGACTCTGATTCTCTGTAGAGCTATTTTGAGGTCCTTTGCCACTGTTTGTCCTTGCGTGTTGGCTTGGTGCAGCTGATCTTCCAGCTCACTGATTCTTTCCTCAGCTGTGGTTATTCTATTTTTGAGGGCACAGACTGAGTTTTTCATTTCATCTATGGAATCTTTGATTCGTGCCATTTCTGTGCGTAGCTTTCCAATTTCTGCTCTCATTTCTTGCTGTATTTTGTCGATTGTGCGATCGATTGTTTCTTTCATGTCCTCTTTCAATTTACTGGATATCTGTCTGACTGTTTCATTGAGTTGATTGAACATCTTCATGACTTCATATCTGAATTCTTTGTCAGAGAGGTCTCTTAGGTGGATAGCACCTACTGAGGCTTCTGGACTCGTTTCATCGTCCTCTCCTTGCGGAGGGAATTTGCGTTGTTTCTTCATGTTGGTGTGTAGGTATAGGAACTGTGATGTCACACTAGATGTCTTGGTATAGTAAACTACCTGTGGCCGTGTGAGTGGCTGCCCGCGGAAAATTAGTCCACGCCCACTTCTAAAGAAGCCACACCCACTTCTTTAAAAGCCACGCCCACTTCTAAAGTGACCACACCCTCTATTCCTTTTTTCCCCATAAGTGGACTTAAGCTAAACAGCTTGCCCATTATTTACATGTTAGGTAATATAGTTGAAATATAATTTTGTGTTATGAATATGTGAACTATTAATTTACACAGAGAGTAGGGTTATCAATCTGTCTATAGATAAATTAGTAAGTGGGTTAGAGAGAAGAAAAAATTTTTTTTTGTATATGAAAAGTGTAGCTCTCTATATCTTATAAGAAAATCTGTATAGGTCTCTCTATAGATCCAAGTGCATTTGTTTGAAACATTGAAAAGACACAAAACAAAATAACAGGCCAAACAAAAACATGTCTTTAAGTCTGATATACTTCCCCCGCCCCCACCATATCCAAGATGAATTTTAAACATCGACAAAGTAATATTTAAGGTAGAAATAAAAAGGAGTCTGACTGTTCAGACTGACATTTGTTAAGAATTTACAGAGGGGGCCGGAGAGATTGTACAGCGGTCAGGGCTTTTGTCTTGCATGTGGTCAACCCAAATTCAATACCCAGTATCCTATATAATCCTTTGAACCCACTAGGAGTGATTCCTGAATGCAGAGCCAAGAATAATCCCTGAGATTGCCAAGTGTGGCCTCAAAACAAACAAACAAACAAAAAACAAACAAAAAGAAGGCAATGAAAAGAAGAATTTTTCTGCTTGCTAAACTTGTGGAGTAAATATAAAAACGAAAAAAGATTGTTTTTAAGCATATAAGGATGAATTTAGGTTGGTCTACTTTGAAGAGGAGTAATATAGCATCGTTGATACTAAAACAAAGACTTGAGAGTGTTAATAGTAGTTCATTGTTGGTTTGTAGTGTATAAAATGGGGTAACTAGGACAGGGAGACAGTACAAGGGTTAAGGGCGCATGTTTTACATGTGCCAGATCCCTGTTTGATGCCCGGCACTGCTGATATGGGGGGCCTTTGGTACTGCTCGGGTATCCTTACTGGTCCCCTTGGGTACTGGCCCCTGCCACGCTGCCTGAGAATTCCCTTGAATATTTCTGGGGCTCCTTCAGCACCTCTCGGGAGGCCCTTACTTCCTGCCAAGAAAGAAAAGAAAATGAAAACAAAATACCAAAACCAAACAAAAATATATAAAATGAGAATGGGAAATCCATATTTATTTCCTAAAATAATTTTGAGGATTATATATGCATGCAAAATGTTTAGCACATGCTTAGCTTCTGTTGTTTTAGGGGGCTCAGAGTGACATTCATTGTCATCTCTAACCCATCAGTTCCCCACTGTCTCCCACTGCCCCGCCAGAAACAGAAGGAGAAAGCATACTGTCACCTTTGCAAGAAAGATCAACACAGTGGATGTGGTTTAGGTGTGTGTATGTGCTCCTGATTTGGAGCCTGGACTTCCCTCTCACAAGTCATGGTTGGCAGCTATTGGTCTCAGCTATGGAGCCAGAGTCTGTTTCTGTCCTTCTGAGCACTGAGAAGTGTGTGTCTCAGAAAACAGTGTGGACTTTTATGCAGAGAAGCAAATCTCCAAAGGGATAGGGAAGGAGGGGCTGACCCAAGCACTCCAACTTCATCTCTCAAGTTTATGGTTGAAAAGTCCTTCCTTCACTCCAGGGAGTTAATGTTACTCTAATTGGATTCTCTTCACACAAAAGAAACATTGAGATGAAGTGTAAGTGAACCTCTTAATATATTAGTGCTAGTTAAATGTTTGCTAGGGGGAAAAATCTACTTTGCTAGTTAAAGTTTTAGATTAGAAGAGTTTAAGTAAGTGAATTAAGTGCTCAAAACATTTCCAGTATTAACATTTTCTCATAACATAACTTACCAAAATAAGTTTTTGAAATGAAGTAAGATTTTCCCAGGGAAAATTTACAGGTGCATATATGTCTTCATTTTCAGAGAGTTCAACTAGATAAAAAAGAAACTTGAGATTAATACTTTAAATAATCAAAAGATAGGTACTCCAATGAATTTTTTTGTTATGAAATTTGTGGCTATTTTAACAAACCTAACTTTGGTTCAAATTGAAGTTTTATTTGTATAGGATTTAAGCTACCATTTGTATTTCAAGAGACAAGCTACCTAGAGTAAGTTTAAGTTTCATCTTGGCTCTTATGAAAAGACTGGTGGATGGTAAAATATGAGACAATTAAAGGACATGAAAGAGAAGCTGGGAGGGCCAGACTGAATATTTTATAACCTGCTTCTGATTATGTGATATTTTTCTGATGTATGTATACTGATAACTCAAGAGGGAGAGATTACTATTCTTAATTTACCTATAACTGATATAAGAAAGAAAAATTAGGGGGTAGGAAGTGTTCTAGTCTTTTTACCCACTATCATTTCAACATAGCTATCATTTTAATTTACTCCCATATTTGATACTTTCTCAATGTCTAACTTTTAGTACAAACTTAGATTATAAATACAACTTTCTTAGTATTGCTGAACTAGGTTTGTTGATCTTAAAAAGGACCTTGACACATCTAGTTACAAATTGATAAATTGGGAGATACTGCAAAATGAAAAGATGTCCACTTTGCAGAAAAGGGCAGTAAAGACTGTCTGTTAATATAAGATATTGACTCATCTTACAGTATAATATGTAATGAGTCCAAGACAAAGCAGTAATGATCCAGACAGAAAAATCTAGGGGAGAATGACTTTTTAATCAGAATTTGAAAAAAAGAAGCCATAAAAAATAGATAAAATTTTATGGACAAACATTAGAATATTTATACTTATACTTGCCATGGACAAATCTGGTAGAAGATGACAAATTAAAAATCTGAATGAAAAGATTGATATTTTAATTTTTATCTATTATTTAAAAAATATTTGGGCTACACTCAGTGGTTCTTAGGGCTTACTCGTGGTTCTGTCCTCAAGGATCACTCCTGGCTGTGTGTGGTGCCAGAATTGAACCTCGTTTGGCTGTGTGCAGTGGAAGCACCCTGCATGTTGTACTATCTTTCTGGCCCATAGTTTATACTTTTATAAAAACACAAAACTGATTACTTTTTTGTGAATAAAGTTCTACAAAAAAGAGAAAGGAGTTCTGTAGAAAACAGAAAGTGTATATGAGTTTGCAAATTCAAATAGTATTTAAGGGACTGGAGCGATAGCACAGTGGTAGGGCATTTGCCTTGCACATGGCCAACCTGGAGATGATTCTCAGCATTCCATATGGTCCCCTGAGCACTACCGGAAGTAATTCCTGAGTGCAGAGCCAGGAGTAACCCCTGTGCATTGCCGGGTGTGACCCAAAAAGCAAAACAAAACAAAACAAAAAAACCCCCAAACCCCCAAAATGCTATTTAGATATTTAGGTATTTAGATATCTAAAATTTCTAGAAGTCTGGGAAATTAAAATGAAAATCCTTAAAAAATTTTAGATTGGCAAAAGTTAGAATGGAGGCATATGTTGTTTGTAAAATAGAAATTACCATGGATTTTAAGAGAAGCAAACTATTTACACAAAAATAATACTTTTGACATAGCAATTCCTATCTTGGATGTCTGTTCCATTAAAAAACCAAAGGAAATATATAATATATTTATTTTATTGCATAATAAAATTGCAGCAAAAATATGAAAGTAAATGGAGAAACAAGTTGAAGGAAACAAATTAAGTTGCATGCTGAGTTCAAAAGATGTGGGTGGAAGGCAGAGAGAAGGGAGGAAAGTTCTAAATGGAAAAAATACAAAGGAAAAAATGTGCTGAAAAAAAGCAACTCATGTAAAGTGAGTTCTCTTTGCTCTGTAATTTAAAATCATATCATATACATACTTAAATGCATTTCTGTTAGATGAGGCACTGACCTATTGTAGATGTAGACTACTTAGATTAACATAAAAATTAATGTGGTATAATAAAACTATAATGTGTGGGATAATTTCATCACTGTGATGTTTTGACTTCTCATTAGAGCCTTTCTTCAACAATGATCTTTATAATAACCATTATACAAGACATGGTTAACATGTAACAATAGTTGTTACATAAAATAACAGATGTGGTTACAGAATAGTTATATTTTTCCCTTTCATTTGTTGTAAATACTTACTACCTTCATAATTAATAACCTAGTTACACATATACCTCACAAAGATGAACGTTCTGATGCTTCCTTACCTGACTCCTCCGAACTACTTTCTTCCAAGAAAGATACACTCATCAGAGAATAAACATCTTTACTGTTGTAAAAAGCATTCCATTGTGGTGCATTTGATAAAAGGGATTTGCATAAATAGGAAAATGATTCTAGTTTGCTAGCGACATATTGGCATTGTTTCCACTTGTCAGTTGACAACCATGGGAGAGTGGTTTGTGTAAAGACTTCATATACATCTAAAAGAAAGGGAAATGATCACATCAAAAGAGCTATAACCTTTATCTTTTCTTAATTATTGTAAAGTAGATGCTTAATCCATACTTGTTGAGAGAAAAACCTTGTTTTATAAAAATTGGTTACATAAAAGGCTAATTTTTTTTGTTGTTGTGGTGGTAAGAATACGTGACAAAGATTTTACAACTTTAACCATTTTTGTTGTAGTTTTTTGGGCAACACCTGGTGGTACTCATAGGTTATTCCAGGCTCTGTGCTCAGGAATTACTCCTTGTGTTACTTGGAGGACTGTGTGGGATGCCAGGGATAAAAACGGTGAAATCCCTTAGTGCAAGACAAATGCCCTACTGAAGGAAATTGCTCCAGCCACACTGAAACAATATGTAAAATTCAGTAATGTAAAGTATATCCATACAGTTGTGAAGTAGATCACCAGAAGTTTTTTTAAAAAAAATTATTGTGATTTACAGTACTGTTAATAATAGGGTTTCATGCATAAATGCCAGAAGTTTTTGTACAAATTTGAATGTCAATCCCATGAAACAACTTCACTAACCCTTCTCCTTAACCACATCCTCCACTCCTGGTAATCATTCTACTTCCATGTTTTATGAATTTGATTTCCTTAGATACCTCAAATAGGTAAAGCCATACAGTATTTGTCTTTTTTGGGGGGGGGACACACCCGGCAATGCACAGGGGTTACTCCTGGCTCTGCACTCAGGAGTTACTCCTAGAGGTGCTCAAGGGACCTGGGAATCGAACTCAGGTCGGCCATGTGCAAGGCAAACACCCTACCCACTATGCTATCTCTCCAGCCCCCAGTATTTTTTACACAATGTCCTCAAGGTTCATCCATGATGTACCATGTGATAGGATTTCCTTAATTTTGGAGGCTGAATATTTCTTTGGCTATATGTTCTACATTTTATTTATTCTTTTATATATTGATAGACATCTGTATTGCTTCTGTCTATTGACTGTTGCAAATAGTGCTAAGAACAAAGTGTGCAAATGTGTCTCAAATACTCTGATTTCAGTTCTTTTGAATATGCAACCAAAAGTGGGATTGCAGATCATATGGTAGCTTGATCACTTGACCACTTGACTTCCCGTTATTCATCGATTTGCTCGAGCAGGCGCCAGTAACGTCTCTATTCGTCCCTGTCATGTGTTAGTGTAGCTCAATAGCGTCTGCTCGTTCCAGGAACACAAAGAGCCTCAAACCGATCGTTCAGGGTCTTGACAAAGAAGTTTGACCATCTCATAGGTGGCTGGCCACGCTGTCTTTTGATGTCTTGTGGTATCCAGTTGGTAATGGCTCTAGTCCAGCGGTCATCTCCAAATCTCATTAAATGTCCAACCCATCTGATTTTCAATGCCTTGGCAAACGAGACAGCATCCCTGATTCTTGACCGTCGATGGAGGTCGGAACTCCGGATTCTTTCTCTCATTTAAGTGAAATGTGATACTCCAAGCATAGCTCTTTCGATTCCTCTTTGGAAGACCCGAATAGCATTCTCATCCTGTTTTCGTCTGGGGCGTATGTTAATGCAGGGAAAACAGTGGAATCGAAGAGATGTGCCCAGAGCTGAAGGTTCTTGGTCCTCTTAGCTATTTTTTTGATGCTCTTGAAGGCGTTCCAAGCCGCTCTTTTCCTTCTGTGCAACTCAGGTGCCAAGTCATTTGTCATGTTGACTTCTCGACCTAAGTACACTAACTGTTGCATTCGGAGATGTTGCATTCGCTCCATTTGTTGAGAGCGAATGGAGCATCATGAACGAGACCGATTCTCATAAACATTGTCTTTGTGAGATTCAGCTGTAGTCGACCTTTCCACACTCACGATCATTTGTGCTGCTTGGCTAATGTTTGGTGTTATTAGAACAATGTCATCAGCAAAGTGGAGGTGGTATAGTTGTCGACCATCTATCTTCACTCCCATTCCTTCCCATTCCAGTCGTTGCATGACATTGTCAGGGGTGATACTGAAGAGTTCTGGTGAAATGGTATCACCCTGCCGAACCCCTCTCTTGATATGGATGATCACTTCTTTGTAGAATGGTGAGATCCTGGTAGTGAATCCGTAATACAGCTCACAGAGGATCCTGATGTATTGAGTTTGAATACCCTGATTGCTAGGGCTCTGATGACCGCTTCCATCTTAACAGAATCAGAGGCCTTCTTTAAATCAATGAATATTAGACAGAGTGGCATCTTGAACTCCTGAGAAACCTCAATGAGCTTGGTTATCGTGTGGATATGGTTGACTGTGATGAATCCTTTGTGGAACCTGGCTTGCTTGCATGGTTGTCCTTCATCTAGTGTTCTGCCAATCCTATTCGGGATAACTCGAGAGAACAGCTAGTAGATGACAGACCACAGGCAGATCGGGCGATAGTTGCCAATGTCGTGGATGTCTCCCTTCTTATACAGTAGTACAGTCCTGCTGGTTTTCTACTGGGATGGAACCTAGCATTCAGACAGATAGCGTGTGCAGAGCCGAGCCAGTGTATTGGTGAGTACTGATGGCAGTTTCTTCAGGTGTTCGGGTCTGACCTTGTCTGGGCCAGATGCTCTTCGCTTCTTTACCGACGAAATGGTGTGTCGGATTTTGGAAGGGAGAACATTAGGAATGACATATCCATCCTGCGGAATTTGGTGTGTGGGCAGGTGGACGTGGCTATCGAAGATATCCGAGTAGAAGTCATGGACAATCTTCTCCATTGTCCTTCTGGAAGATGTGATAGAACCATCAGGACGTCGGAGGGCAGTCATCTTGGTCTTGTAGTTGGCGAAGGACAGGTGGGAGTTGCGAATGCTTTTCCTGGCTTCTGCCGCATCTACCAGCACTGCTGCAATTGGTAGCTGTAGTCATATTTCTTTAAAATTGAGGTATCATCATTTCCACTAGTCTTAATATTTTTAAGGGTACTAGAGGGTGGTGAAAGGGAAGCTGAGGACATTGTTGATAGGAAACGTACACTGGTGGAGGGGTCGGTGTTGGAATATTGTATGACTGAAACCCGATCATAAAAGCTTTGTAAAGGTTTTCTCAAAGTGATGCAATTAAAAAAAAATAATGCAACTGCATCACATGCAGCAGCAGAATCCCGGTCTCCCTCAACCACAGTCTCTAGGTACCTTCTTGTTTCATCCTTCCTACCCCACATCCCCATGCTTAGGGCTCTGCACTCAAGGATTGCTACTGGCAGGCTTGGGGGATTGAACCCAGGTTGACCATATATAGGTAAAGCAAGTGCCTTACCTGCTATACTATCTCTTTGGTCCTGGACAATTTAATAAAAATGAAATATCATGTAAGTGAAGAGATAGAAGAAAACATATCAGACAAAAAAATAATCCAGATAAGATTTGACTCACCTACCAGCTCTGTTCTATGGATTCATGACTAAATCTTTGAAGAGATACTAGCTAAGCAGCTAAAATTCATGGAAACATTGGTCCCTGTGGCTTGGGTCACCCTCAAGAGATAGAAAGGCTGAGTACCAGCAGTCACACCCATACCCCACTGTTGCAGCCACGCCAAGGGCTCAACTCCCCCACTTCGGGAATATTCTCTGTGGAGATGTCAAACTGTGAATAATTTCATGTACCCCAGTGTCCTGGGCCAGAACGATAGCATAGCAGGTAGGGTGTTTGCCTTGCACGCAGCCAACCTGGGTTAGATTCCTCCACCCCTCTTGGAGAGCCCGGCAAGCTACTGAGAGAATTCCACCCACACGGCAAAACCTGGCAAGCTACCCGTGACGTATTTGATATGCCAAGCACAGTAACAACAAGTCTCACAATAGAGATGTTACTGGTACCCGCTCAAGCAAATCGATGAACAATGGGAAGATAGTGCTAAAGTGCTACCCCAGTGCCCAGGTTGAGAAGTCCAGGTGTCTTCTTGGAGATCCTGCAGTCTCTGGATCACACAGCTGCATATGCCAGAGATTGAGCCCATGCAGGGGCATAGACACCTCCTAATTCCTCAATGCTAAAATTCCAGTAGGAACACACCAAATTATATGGGAAAGTAGCATAGAAGTCACCACCTGAACTCAACAAACAAAACCAGTAACACGGGGGGAAGATGGCAGTGGCTTGGTGGCAGGTGCCAGAGCTAGTGGAGCAACCGCAGCTCTCAGTGCTCACAACAGCGGCTGAGGGTTCACAAAATTTCTGCCTCACATATTGTCTCTCAAAAGGAGTGTCTTTTAAGACCAACTTGGTTGCTGGATCATTGTATGGCTGAAACCAAATTATGAACAGCTTTGTAATGGTCTATCTCATGGATATTCAATTAAAAAAATTAAAAGAAAAGTAATGTGGAATTCAGTGCCCAAATTCAATCAGCTTAATCAATGACTGAATAAATAGCCATACGCCTGCACTGTAGCACTCTCCTCCTGTTGTTCATTCATTTGCTCGAGTGGGCACCAGTAGCGTCTCCATTGTGAGACTTGTTGTTACTGTTTTTGGCATATCAAATACACCATGGGTACCTTGCCAGGATCTACCTTGCGGATGGAATACTCTTGGTAGCTTGCTGGGATCTCCAAGAAGGATGGAGGAATCAAATCTGGGTCGGCCAAGTACGAGGCAAACGCCCTACCCGCTATGCTATCGCTCCAGTCCATACTCCTATATTAAAAACAAACAAACAAATCAAGCTGGTGCCCACCGCAAAGCAATGGCCCAAAGTGGGACTCATGGAGATGGTGGTCACCAGCCATGGGCGCTGGCAGCTCTCAGTGCTAAGGGCAGCAGGCTGCATGGCCCCAGAATATCTGCATGAATGAATAGTGTTAGTGCTCTTTGGGGCCATCCTGGCATTACGTGGAGCACAGACCCAAAGTTCCCACAATGGGGGACCAGCTTGGGTGGCCCCAGTCCCACCTTCACTGCTCCCTATGGTCAGCTGGTGCTGATGTTGTCTCAGCAGCATATTTTGGAGGGAAATACCCTGTGCTCCAATTGCCTGGAGACGAACCTG